AGCACGGTTTTATGAAGCACAGGTCATGTCAAACTAACTTGATTGCGTTCTACGAAGAAGTAAGTAGAAGTATAGATCAGGGTGTTGCAGTGGATGTTATCTATTTGGATTTTGCCAAGGCATTTGATACAGTTTCACACAATAGATTAGTGTTCAAACTCAAGGAAATCGGTCTAGATGAAAATGCTTGTTCTTGGGTAGAACATTGGCTTAAAAACAGAGTACAAAGAGTTGTCATTAATGGTAAATTTTCAAGCTGGACAGAGGTGGCAAGTGGTGTCCCTCAGGGGTCTGTTCTGGGACCCCTTCTATTTAACATGTTTATAAATGATCTTGAAGACAGCATTGAAAGTCATGTTTCAGTGTTTGCAGATGACACAAAACTTTGTAAAATAATACAATGTGAGCAAGATATTACTTTGCTGCAGAGGGATTTAGATAGACTGGGGGACTGGGCACTCAAATGGCAGATGAAATTTAATGTTGAAAAATGCAAAGTTATGCACTTCGGCGTAAAGAATACACAAGCAACGTATACCCTTAATGGAAGCGAATTAGGGATAACAACACATGAAAAGGACTTGGGAATTGTTATAGACAACAAACTATGCAACAATGTGCAATGTCAATCAGCAGTGGCCAAGGCCAGTAAAGTATTGTCATGCATGAAAAAGGGCATTCATTCTCGGGACAAGAATATCATTTTGCCTCTTTATAAATCACTGGTAAGACCCCATATTGAATATGCTGTGCAATTTTGGGCACCTGTTCTAAAGAAGGATATTATGGCACTAGAAAAAGTGCAGAGGCGGGCTACAAAATTAATAAAAGGAATGGAACATATCAGCTATGAAGAAAGGTTAACAAATTTAAACCTATTTAGTTTAGAAAAACGTCGCCTGAGAGGGGATATGATAACATTATACAAATATATTCGGGGCCAATACAAACCATTGTGTGGAAATCTATTCACAAACTGGACTTTACATAGGACACGAGGCCATGCGTTTAGACTGGAAGAAAGAAGATTTCGTCTAAGGCAAAGGAAAGGTTTTTTTACTGTAAGAACAATCAGGATGTGGAATTCTCTGCCTGAAGAAGTGGTTTTATCAGAGTCCATACAGATGTTCAAACGGCTACTAGATGCATACTTGCAAGAACAGAATATTCAAGGATATAATCTTTCAATGTAGGGTAATAACTGCTTGATCCAAGGATAAATCTGACTGCCATTCTGGGGTCAAGAAGGAATTTTTTTTCCTAGCTTGTTGCAAAATTGTGCTTCACACTGTTTTTTTTTTGCCTTCTTTTGGATCAACAGCAAAAAACAAATGTGAGGTAGGCTGAACTTGATGGATGCAAGTCTCTTTTCAGCTATGTAACTATGTAAGTTTTACATTTGAATGGGTGGGAGGGATTAGCACAGCAAGGGTTACTCAAACCAAAACCAGTGTTTTATGAAAACATTATTTTTTGGGGTTGGAGTAACCCTTTAACTGTATTGTCATGTGTTAATCCACATTAAAATGCCCAAAACATCCTTTTCATAATTTTATATTCTGTGAGCTACACGATTTATAGAATATCAATCAAAAGTTAGACTCAGCTTTTTGACTAGAACATAGAGAAAGCTACCCGAAACTATATTAGTATAAGCTTTGAATCATGCACCTGAGTTTTTCCATTATTGCACTGCCAAATTTCATCTTCAAAGCTCATGTCTGTGTTTTCCACCTTGGTGTCTTGCAATGCTTCTGTTACCTAGCATTTCAGAAACGACATTTAATTAAATTTCTTGAAAATTGTGCTCGTCGCGCATAAAAATATTTTTTAAAAACTGATATTTAATTATTTGATGGGAATAGTCAGAATGCTTAAATAGAAAACACATCAAGGTTATAAGACTAATAAATAAATACAGAAAGAAAATGAACCAAAACTGGTTCACAAACACAATATTTTGCGCAGTAAACAACAATTAAACATAAACAAAGCAATACAGTAGCATAACAATTAACTGTGTTGACAAATATTGGCATTGTCACAATAATGGAGCAGTGAATATGACTAAAAAGTAATATTCCAGGCACCAAAACCACTACAGTGTGATGTGGCATATCCCTAACTATAATTTGTTAAACTGCTTGCTAACAGTTCTTACCTGGGTCTACCAGCTCTGGTCCCTGTCTCTCTTCTTCCTGTACTAAGAGCCAGAGAAGTTTTCATGAACTCTCTTGAATTGTTTTTGTCTGAGATCATCAGCCAATGAGCTGCTTGCTATCAGCCAATGAGCTTAGCCCTGCACTGAGAAGCAAAGAGCTTATGGCAAGTGATAGCTCCTGGTGGACCCCAGGTGAGAAGTCAAACCATTAATAAATGGTTTTACTTCTTACAATAGGGCAGCACCGGGACACTCCTTGCACCATAACTCATACAGTGTGATGTAGTGTTTATGGTGCCAGGAGTGTGCTTTTACGCAGCTTCTTCAAAATGATCATATGTTATAAATGATTTATCACAAATGAGTTTGTTGGACCATGTTTGAAAAAGGATAGGCAGAGCATTTTAGCAAATTCTAAGAGATATAAACCAAGAACACTATGGCACGAAGGGCACTGCTGCCTACTGTGCAACACTGAGCCAGGAAGCACCTTCAGTGCCATATGATGAGTGGCCACTTGGAGGTGTCCCTAGGGGCAATGTAAACACTGTTTTTCCTCTGAAAAGGCAGTGTTTGCATGAAAATTCCTGAATGCGATGATTATTCTCACCAGAACAACTACATTAAGCTATAGTTGATTTGGTTACTATAGTGTCCCTTAAAAGGTAATTTTTAGTGCATGCTAGTATAGCAACTACTGCAAGCTTTTATTTGATTAAACAATATTGGAATAACATGTATTTGAAAGAAAATGAGGCAATATATTGTCCATACTGAGGTAGACAAAAGAGGGGCTGAGGGCAGGTTCAAGGTTCACGACAGGATGTATAGGTTCTAGGCATGTCATATGACACTACTCGATCCATCACAGAATATCCCTCTTAAACCAATCAATCAAAGGATTATGTTTCACCAACCAGGAAAAAACGAGGACTATAGGAAAAGAAGGGGAGTTTATTAACTGGAACGTGACACGTTCCTTATGGACATTTACAACTCCGGGGTTTCATGAGTAACTACGGACTTTGTTAACGGTATACCATCAATGGCCTTTACGGCCAAGGGTGTAGTTTTTAAGATTAAAGTCAAGGCAGAAGTTTTGGAGAAGTATTGGTCCATAAGATTACCTGCTGCTCCTGAATCAACCAAAGCCGTAGTGGCAATGGATATGCCATTAACAATTAATATGATCGAGATAAGCAGTCTGGTGGAATCAGCAGGAGGGGATAGCGTCATAACACCCAAGGCCAACCCCTCACTAGGTCTTAGGTGCTGGCATTTCCCTGGAGGTCAGGACAGGATTTAATTAGATGCCCATTTTTCCCCACAATAAAGGCACAATCCCTCTCTCCTTCTATGTAACTTTTCCTCCTCAGTCAACTTATCAGAGCCCAGTTGCATAGGTTCAGGCGGAGGACTGGGTGGAGGTAGAGAGAGCAAAGGAGTACTGGGTAAAGAGGGTAGTGAGTGAGCATACCTCCTATTACAGGAGTCTCTTTTAGTATGCCTCTCCTGGATGCGGTTATGTATTACAATGCAATAGTCGATAAGATGCTATCTTATCCAATAAGTAACCAGCTAAACCTTCTTGAAAAGTGGTTACTATTGCATCGTTGTTCCATACCACCTCTGCTGCTATAGTACGGAACTCTATGGCATAATCTGCCATGGATCTAGAGCACTGCTTGATTCTTAACAAGGCTTTCCAAACAGAGGTTACCCTGCCTGGCATGTCAAATGTCCTTTTTAACGCAGTTAAGAAGTCAGTGTAGGACATAGTAGGTGTGAAGGACTTTTATGTATTTGCCTATATGCTTCAGTTTAATCCTCTCCCTGCTATTTTAATGTCTATATTGTTCGGTTCAAACTGTTGAGAATGAATGTATTCTTGTACCGAACGGGGACCACACACCCTGGGTAGCAAGTAGCAATTGGAACACAGAGAAAACCGCAAGTTAATTGCTACTAGGTGGCCGCCATTCGACATACGAACACGTGGCGAGAACAAAGGATGGCGGCCATCTTAAAACTCACGAATGAGGTCAGAGGGGCTTACGCATGAATTGCATGGAACTGTTTTCAGTACGGGAACCATGCGAACGCCCGGTCCCCATGGAAGTCCTGGATGAATACGTTCCCCTTCACGAATCAAACTGGCGTTCGGTAGATAGTATCTACCGAATGAGGGAACATTCACAGGTAACCAGCTGAACCATACGGACGGTGGTTTTCGTGTAGTTAGATGCGAACGGAGACCGGCTCTTGCTACTGATTCTATGGAACTGTAACTCGGATACCTCCACATGGCAAGCCGGTCAAACTTCCACACGATTCGACACGGAAACTACCGAACGGAAATTCGTGAGATTTGGATATGTGACTACCAGTATCCTCAGCTACCCAGGGAAAGTATATTTGTATGTCTTATAAAAAGTATATTTCTGAAATTGTTATAAATTGTAATGTTTCTGGCCAGCAGATAATTGAGATTTGTGTATTATAGAAACTCAATTTGTGTTGCATAAATTGTGAGTTCTGTGTGCCAGTAAATCAGTCTTGTTCCAGCATTAAGCTTTGGCTCATGTGTGGATTATTCGGTGATTCCAGGGATATTTCTGCTTATGGAATATTGAGTGCTTTTCTTTTATGGGAAGAAGGGAATGCTTGACGGGGATATTTTCTACTACCGTCACAGTAGGACCTGACTCCCATATAGGATTTGCTCAGGCCAAAGCCCTACTGGAAAGATGATTAATGAGGAAGGCTATTTTAGCTCTGTCATTGGGATGCGAACGTGGGTTCATAACCAGGTGTATATCAATCTAGTTTAAGAACCCACAACATAGCGCAGGATTGCCACTATATGCTGAGGTAGTGTCATATGTACAGTATGGGCTGGAACAACAGGTACAGGCTCAAGAGCAGGACTTTGAGGGGCAGCTGTAGACTGCTGCACCTCCGATTGGAGATGAGCAGTATGCTGTAAGATGGTCTGTAAAGCCTGGGCAAACTGATTCATGCGATGGTCGAAACCATCCATCCTGGAATTCTGAGTAGCCAGCTGCTGTGATATATCTGCCGGTTCCTATGCTTAGGTTGTTGACTAGTCTCCAATTAGTGTAAATTGTAATACGTGGGAGGCGTTTCTTCTTTTCAGGGTGACCTGTGACATGATATTTGCGCATCTAGTCAGGTGACTGGCTCGGGCGCCTATTTAAGGCAGCACCCAAAACACTGCCGGCGGGGACAGAGACAGCTGCAACAGGTCACAGAAGCCACCGCTCACGGAGAGGAGCAAAGTGAAACCGACATGAGCAATGCACGAGACCCAGAAGCCGCCCCTAGTGGCAAGGAGTAAAGGAAAGCCACTGAGAGCGGTGTGCGGGACCCGAAGCCGCGGCCTATGGTGAGACCACGGCAAGGGACCTGACACATACAATGTTTGTCACTGGATTGAGTATGAATTAAGATGGAGAGAGGAGTAAGGGGTAAGGGATATTTAAACAGAAAGGAAGGGAAGACTGAGATGGAGGAGAGAAGATGGAGATGAAGGAATGCTAGTTTGTAACAGAGATTAACATAAAAATTATGGGAACTGAGTTATAGTAGAAATAAAAATAGATTATGAAAAAATTAAATGGAGACTAGAGGACTAGTCTAGAGACTGGCCTAAAAACTGAAATGTAAAGAATGGGAATATACAGTATCTTTGGATAAGAAATAGTGGGGAGAGGGAACTTTGATAGAAGTAAAATTAAAACTGAAATTGAAAGGAAATGACGGGGAACTGAGATGTCAAGGAGGGATAGCAGAGGTGAATGGAAAGGAAAAGAAAGAGAAATGGAACAGGAATAAAGGAGAGCACAGAGAATTTATTTGAAGATGAGAACTGGGATGAAAATGTTTACATTTTATATGAAGTGAACTACTTACCAATAAAATATATATTTTTTTAGTCTAAGCCAAATCATATGTACAAAGGATCAGCGCTAATATACTAGATATTACAGAGATAAATATAAGGCAGCACACCTGAACAATAGGGCTCCCTCACAGGCCCTATAGAGTAGACAAAACTAAAAAAGGTGAAGGGGGAGGCGGCGCTACAGGTGAAATAAAATATAAATAAATAAATCTGATTATAAACTATACGAGCACATATACAAAACAGTATATAAGAGAAAATAAACAAAAAGAGTTTGAAATATGGATAATGAATAATAATCAAGAGTCGAAAGATTAAGTCCAAAAGAGTCTATGCCTGATAAATGCAGCAAAAAAAGTCCAAATAAAACCTTGTATAAGAACTCAATCAGAATCTTGTCAGGGGAAGTATTCCTCAGTAACGTATGGACATGGGATATTTGTGAAATCCGTATAGAATAAATAATGGTGCAGTATATCCCAACAGGTACTAAGTACTATTTTTAGAGGTCTATATGGTCCTACTCACCTTTTCCAGAGCTATAAGACTAGCTTATGGGATACGTGAAGTTTTGTAGTAGATGGATATCTTGTTGGTATAAGGACCATATGAAATGTAAAAGAAGCTATAATAGTGCTTATTGATTACTCACATTTTATTGAGCAGGCAGACTGCTCAATGGATAAAGCTTGAGTGATATAATCCCCACCAAGGATTATTTGGAGTAAAATTCTCATTGGAACAATAAAAACTCTGGTGCCAGGTAAAAATAAATAAGAGTTAAATGGCTGACTCACAAGTTGAAAGTGGCCAAAATTCCTTTAATAAAATATAGCAATTAAAATACCAAAACGTGTTTCTCCCCTTAGGGCTTTCTCAAATGGATAAAAACATGTACCTGACAACACTGGCTTTATATAGGCCTCAGATTACTTGATTTTGGCGCCATGTCATGTGACCTTTTTTTTTATGTGTGTAACTTTATTGTAGAACATGTTTCAGCCATATTATCATATTAGGGAGGGCAATGAAACATGTGCCAGCCATATTAGGGAAGGCAATGAAAAAAAATCCCGCAATAAAGATTTTGAAGAACAGTCTAAAACCCTCAAAGAACAATTCACCAGCAAATAAATTTGAGTAACCCCTTGGTATTTTATTACTTCACCTCTGGCTTTTATACAATAAGCACTATGATTGTTTCTTTTACATTTCATATGGTCCTTAGACCAACAAGATATCCATCTACTACAAAACTTCATGTATCCCATAAGTGGGGATTGTATCACTGTATGCCATCCACACTAGAGCTAGTCTTATAGCTCTGGAAAACATGAGTAGAACCATATAGACCTCTAAAAATAGTACTTAGCACCTGTTGGTATATATTGCACCATTATTTGCTGTCTTTTTATTTTTTCTATATGGATTTCAAGAATATCCCATGTCCATACGTTACCGAGGAATACTTCCCCTGACAAGATTGTAATTGACTCTTTTGGAATTAATCTTTGGACTCTTGATTATTATTCATTATCCATATTTCAAACTCTCTTTGTTTTTTTATCTTGTATGTATTTTCTCTTATATAGTGTCTTGTATATGTGCTTGTATAGTTTATAATCAGATTTATTTATTTATATTTTATTTCACCTGTGGCACCGCCTCCCCCTTCACCTTTTTTAGTTAAGCCAAATGATGTCCGTGTACCAAGAAGTGCACATTGCTTTGACTACTTGATATGTCACAGAAATTGACTGTTATATTTTCTATAGATATGACTGTATGTTGTCATTTCTCTTTGAATGAAACTTGTCACTCCCCACCCCCTCCAAAAAAATAACTGATGCTCTTATTAAAGAGCATGGCATTTCATCTACACATTGAGCTAGCAATTTTATAGCAAATATACATATTGAGATTAAAAAACCTATTTAAAAATAGTTTTTATATTTTCCAGCTGCCAATCAATTCTTTGGCATAGACTCTATGTCAAAAAGTTAATTGACAGGGAAAGCACCCACCCATAGCAATCTCAGCGCATGAGTTGTGGTTGCTATGGTAACTCAATAACTAGTTAGGGAGTATAGGCTTGCTGGCAACGAAGCCAGCGTATCAGCAGTATAGGGAGTATAGGCTTGCTGGCTAGGGAGTATAGGCTTGCTGGCAACGAAGCCAGCGTATCAGCATCATGGAGGAGACTTGCTCTGCATCCCCAAGCATGTTAAATCAGGGAAAACTGTGGCAGGAGGATCAGGTAAGTTGCTGACGGGTTTCCTTTAAGAAATACTGAACCACAAGGTGAAGTCAAAAATAAAAATGAAACCTTGTGAGATGGGGAGAATGAGAGGGCTCACTTATTTTGAACTCATAAATAACAAAATAGCAATGTGATTTAAAATATTTCCTGATATTACAAATCTGCAAAATGTATAGACATTTCAAATATGTAAGAGAAGAAATTCATATCAATAAATTTGAAAAAGAAATATTTACATTACAAAAACAGATTAAAGTATTTAATTACAGGAATGAAGTATGAGATTCATTCAGAAGATACAGCGGGATGGTTCGAAATTGCAATTCATTCATAAGGTAGAGAGGTAGAGAAATACTTTATTCAGACGTGTAATCCAGTCAAAAGAATTTGTGAATTCTATCAGAACCTTACCTGCAGGAAAGCCTCGAGGCAAAAAGAAGAGATACACGATATATCAGAATAAAAGAACACACTTTATCTTATACTATACATAATGAGTAATATTGCTTTACAATTTACACGTGCATTTAGATGCCAAATGGATTCATATTTTTAATCTCTAGTTCAAAACGCTACATTGGAATTGCAGTCCACTGACGCTCTTTTCTCTCTCTACCTTTTTTTTTTTTTCACCATTTAGCCTTAGGGATGAATATGTAAAATGAGAGATAGTGGAGTCTGCAGGATTTCTGTCAGCTGAATCTGTAGATTGAAAATACAAAGGGAGGAATGTGACATGATTTCTTTATAATATCCTTACTATTGATAATATAATAATAAATGAGCTGAAGTCATCAAATATTTACCTAGTGTTTTATTGCACAGTCGATGTAAAATAAATTGAGTCTTCAAGATTTCAAGATATTACAAAAAAAGATATGCTAAGGGAAAAGAGAAAAACGAAATACTAAATGGATTTATATATATATATATATATATATATACTACTCAAAAAAAAAAAAAGGGAACACAAAAATAACACATCCTAGATCTGAATGAATTAAATATTCTTCTGAAATACTTTGTTCTTTACATAGTTGAATGTGCTGACAACAAAATCACACAAAAATTAAAAAATGGAAATCAAATTTTTCAACCCGTGGAGGTCTGGATTTGGAGTCACACTCAAAATTAAAGTTGAAAAACACACTACAGGCTGATCCAACTTTGATGTAATGTCCTTAAAACAAGTCAAAATGAGTCTCAGTAGTGTGTGTGGCCTCCACATGCCTGTATGACCTCCCTACAATGCCTGTGCATTCTCCTGATGAGGTGGCGGATGATCTCCTGAGGGATCTCCTCCCAGACCTGGACTAAAGCATCTGCCAACTCTTGGACAGTCTGTGGTGCAACGTGACGTTGGTAGATTGAGCGAGACATGATGTCCCAGATGTGCTCAATTGGATTCAGGTCTGGGGAACGGGCGGGCCAGTCCATAGCATCAATGCCTTCGTCTTGAAGGAACTGCTGACACACTCCAGCCACATGAGGTCTAGCATTGTCTTGCATTAGGAGGAACCCAGGGCCAACTGCACCAGCATATGGTCTCACAAGGGGTCTGAGGATCTCATCTCGGTACCTAATGGCAGTCAGGCTACCTCTGGCGAGCACATGGAGGGCTGTGCGGCCCCCCAAAGAAATGCCACCCCACACCATTACTGACCCACTGCCAAACCGGTCATGCTGGAGGATGTTGCAGGAAGCAGAATGTTCTCCACGGCGTCTCCAGACTCTGTCACATCTCACATGTGCTCAGTTACATAGTTACATTGTTACATAGCTGAAAAGAGACTTGCGTCCATCAAGTTCAGCCTTCCTCACATATGTTGTTGCTGTTGATCCAAAAGAAGGCAAA